AAGGCCCCTGAGGCCTCTGCGACCCCTGGGGGCAGTTCGACCCCCCAGAAGGAGGCCTCTCAAGCTCAGTCCCCCTCCAAACCAGCCCCCGGAAAGAAGAAAGCAACGGGGCAGAAGAGGGGGCGAGAAGACGAACCTTCCCAGCCTGGGAAGAAAATCGCGCAAGGCCCAGCTCAGCGACCTCTCCTGCTGACGTCTGGGGGCCCCGTCCACCTGGGGGTAGGCTCCGCGGAGGAGCACGCCCAGGAGAGCGCCCCCGCGAGCTTGTGGCACTTCCTCCACGTGGCTCCCACGAAGCCGGGGCAGGCCCCCACAATGCATGATCCCCGGCACTTCTGCCCGTCCTGAGAGCTCTCCATCAATGACCGAGCCCAATTCCCCGAGGTGGCTCGCGAGCTGGTCACGGGCTCAGTCCTTCCACGTGACAAGAAGTCGATGGAGCTGGCCAGCCCGTCCGAGCTCCAGGACATGTACTACACCGCCCAGGCCCAAGTAAGCCCTCTCCCTTTTAGGCCCCTTGGGTCCCTGTTCTTTCTCTGAATGGGGTTAGCAGCACGCTAACTTTTACTCTCATCTCTTCAGGCCAACGCCGCCGGTGCTGCCCTGGTAACCCGCTTCTCCGAGCTGCCTCCCGACCTGGAGAAGATGCGGAAGAAGATTCAGGAGGCCGAGCAAAAGCTGGCTAAGGCCCTTAAGGAGGTAGACTCCCTTAAGGCCAAGTTGGGCAAGGCTGAAAAGGGGCTGGAGGACTCCCAGGTCCAGCTCGCCTCCACCCGGTCTGAGCTGGACCAGGAGAAGAAGGGCGTGGCGAAACTGAGGGAGGAGCACGCCTTTGAGCTCTCTGGCGCCCTCAGCCGGGAGCGCAAGAAGGCGGTCCGGGACTTCATCCGCTCCGACCAGTTCGCCGATGACGTGGCCTGCCTCAACCAGCCCATCTTCCAGATGGGCGCTACGCGGACCCTGGACAAGGTGAAGGGCCTCAACCCACCGGCTTCAACCTGGTGGATTTCCAGGACTACAATCCCGCGGTCGAGGAGAAGCTGGACTGGCTCTTCGATGGGTACCGCAAGGGGCATGCCCTGAAGGATCTGGTGGGAAGGAGTGATGTGGGGGCCGAGCTGGAGGAGCTCCCCCTGGAGGAGGAGGAGACTCCTGGCAGGGCTTCCGGGAAGGAGCCTGTGGCCTGAGGCCGACCACTCCAGAAACCCTTTCCGTCTCCCTGTAAGGATGTGACCATGCTCCAGTCGAAAATGCCCTTGAGGGTCCATCTGAGACGGAAAGGCTTATAAGGATGTGACCATGCTCCAGTTGAAAATGCTCTAGAGGGTCCATCTCCCTTTTTGACAGCCTTCTCCACCATCTTCCTTTTTAACAGCCTTCTCCACCCGACCTCCAACATGCTTAAGGTGTACCTTCAACTCCCGCCTCAAGCAGGTCGCCAGCAAGAAGAGGACGTAGCCAGGTCCCCCTTTCCTTGTCTAGCTCGGTAGGCCTTGTAATATATAGGTCGGAAATTTTGTAATAGATAGGCTTTAAATGCATATACGAAATTCGAAGAAGACTTTCTCGTAATTCTCGCATACGCCAACCTCTAGCAACCAAATCCATGTACTGGCCTCCTGGGTCGAGCACCAGATATGCCCCCCTCTTTAATCTAACAGCTAAATTGTCAAAGGCAATCAGACTATCAAACCCATGTGCCGACCTCTCGGGTCAAACACCAAGTACACTCATCGAGGAGACGTGCCAGCCCATTGGGACTGAGCACCAAACTTCCAAGATAGTCCTGCCGACCTCCTGGGTCGAACGACGAACTCCCGAATTTTAACGAACCCCCAATAGCTCACTTGAAACTTTCAGGATAGTCCTGCCGACCTCCTGGGTCGAGCGCTAGGATTTAGAATCCCTGCCGTGCCGACCTCCTGGGCCGAACACTCCCGCGTACCGTGCCGACCTCCTGGGTCGAACACTACGCGAATCCCCGCCGTGCCGACCTCCTGGGTCGAGCGCTAGGATTTAGAATCCCCGCCGTGCCGACCTCCTGGGTCGAGCGCTCCCGCGTCTTACCGTGCTGACCTCCTGGGTCGAGCGCTAGGATTTAGAATCCCCGCCGTGCCGACCTCCTGGGTCGAACACTCCCGCGTCTTACCTCCTAGCCCCCCATTAGGACATTTAGTGAAGGAACGCTAAGTGTGCTAGTGTAAGATTAAAACTCAAAAGACAAACAAGTACAAATGGAATTAAAATTCGAAAGTCGAGCCTTTATTGAAAGACGAAACTGGAACTTGGACTCCCAAGAATCAGACAACCGAAAATTCTGGTCTAACCTACGCTACAAACAGTCGCAGATTGGAGAAGTGCCAAGTGCGGGGTACCTCTGATCCATCCATCTTCGCGAGTTTGCAGTACCCAACTCGGCTTGCCTCCAAGACCTTGTACGGCCCTTCCCAATTCGGATCAAGTTTGTTGGAGCCACGTGTCCGGCTGACCGAGTTCTTCCTTAGGACAAGGTCCCCTGGCTGGTACTGTATGGTCCTCACTTTGGCGTTATGATAGCGGGCGAGCTGACTTTTGTACTTAGCCATTCGCACCGCCGCTTCCTTACGCTTAGCTTCCAGCGTGTCCAAGTTGTACCTCAGCTCTTTCTCGTTGGTTGTCGCAACGAAGTTCTGTGTCCGGGGCGAGGGGAGACCAATCTCCGCGGGCACTACAGCCTCTACTCCGGAAGTCAGGGAGAACGGGGTTTCTTGGGTGGCCACCCTGGGCGTGGTGCGGTAAGCCCACAGGACGCTAGATAGTTCGTCCAGCTAGTTAGACTGGGCTAACTCCAACCTAGTCTTTAACCCTTGCAGAATTGTCCGATTAACATTCTCCACCTGGCCATTGGCCTGGGGGTGTCCGACCGAGGTGAAGTGTTGGTTAATCCCTCGTTCGGCGCACCAGCTTTTGAAGGGATTTTCTGCAAACTGTCGTCCGTTGTCGGATATCAAGACATGCAGGATCCCGAAGCGGCAGATTATGCTTTTCCAGAAGAACTTCTGAATCGCTCTACCTGAGATAGTGGCCAGGGGTTCGGCTTCCATCCATTTCGTGAAATAGTCGATAGCCACCACCAGGTGCTCGTACCTGCCCGGAGCTCGGGGGAAGGGACCCAGGAGGTCTATTCCCCATTGGGCGAAGAGCCAAGGACTGTGGATGGGGACCATCTCCTGGGCGGGCTGGTGGCGCAGCGGGGCGTGTACCTGACAAGCTCGGCACCTCTGAACCAGAGCTGCAGCGTCAAGAAACACCGAGGGCCAGTAGTAGCCTAAGAGCAGACACCTTTTGGCTAAAGCTCGGGACCCCATATGTGCCGCGCACAAGCCTTCGTGCACTTCTCGGAGGACATAGTCGCCCTCCTCCGGAGTTACGCACTTTAGCCAGGGAGACAAGTAAGACCTCCTATAGAGGGTCCCCCCGTCGTAGGCGTATTTGGCAGCTCGGAGCTGGAGTCTACGAGTCTCGTTTTTGTCCTCAAGGAGGGCACCCGAGTTGAGGAAGTTTACGAGAGGGGTCATCCAGGTGGCCGAGCTGTCTATAGCCAGGACCTGGAGCTGGGCGATACTTTTCTGCTTTACCACCTCCACCAGGACTTCCTTGTTCAGGTGCGAAAACGAGGAGAATGCCAGCTTTGACAGGGCGTCTGCGCGCTTGTTTTGCGATCTCGGTACCCGTTCGATTTCAAAGGCATCAAACAGGGCCGCTGCCTCTTGTACCTTGGCCAGGTATCTCTTCATGACATCCTCCTTGGCTTCGTACTCCCCGCAAACCTGGAGGACGACGAGCTGGGAGTCGCTCCTAACTTTAATGGAGGTTACACCCATCTGGTGGGCTATCCGCAATCCTGTGAGCAGGGCCTCGTACTCGGCCTCATTGTTAGACGCGGGAAAGTCGAATCGGAGAGCGTATGTCAGCTCCTCCCCGGTTGGCCAGATGAGCAGCAGGCCTGCCCCGCTCCCCTCCTTGCTCGAGGCTCCGTCCACGAACAACACCCAAGGCTCTATCGGTCCGACCTCCTCGGGCAGAGTGCTCAGCTCAGTCGTGGGCAGACTGGCTCCTTCAGCGAGAAAGTCTGCTAGGGCTTGGGCGTTGATGGCCGTGCGGGGCCGGTAGCCGATATCGTGCTCGGCTAGCTCGACGGCCCACTTAGTCATCCTGCCCGAGACCTCGGGTTTTGTGAGTATTTGCCGTAGAGACTGGTCGGTCATGACGACGATGCTGTGAGCCTGGAAATAAGGTCGGAGTTTCCGGGCAGCGTGCACCAAAGCCAGGACCAGTTTTTCAGCCGGCGTGTACCGTGTCTCCGGCCCCTGTAGAGCTCGGCTGACATAACATATCGGCCTCTGAGCCCCCCTGTCCTCCCGCACCAAAACCGCGCTAACCGCCTCATTGCTAGCGGACAAGTACAGGAACAAGGTTTCTCCCTGTTCCGGAGCGGTTAGAGTGGGCAGCTCGACCAGATACGCCTTGAGGTCGGTAAAGGCCATCTTGCACTCCTCGATCCACTGGAAGTCCTTGGACGCCCTAAGGATTCGGAAGAAGGGGAGCCCCCTTACCGCGGACCGTGAGAGGAACCTGCTCAGGGCGGCCATCCTTCCCGTGAGCCGCTGGACCTCCTTCACACTCTGTGGGGGGGCCATGTCCATGATGGCCTGGAGTTTCTCGGGGTTGGCCCGGATTCCTTCTCGGGATACCAAGAAACCGAGGAATCGGCCCGACCTAACTCCGAAGGTGCACTTCTTTGGGTTCAGCCGCATCCGGCTCTCTCGCAAGATGCTCAAGATTTCCCTTAGGGTGGGGACGAGCTGCTGATCAGTTCGGCTCTTGACGATCATATCGTCTACGTAGATTTCCATGCTTCTGCCGATCTGTTTTTGGAACAACTTGTTGACCAGGCACTGGTAGGTGGCTCAAGCATTTTTCAGCCCAAAGGGCATGGTCCGGTAGCAGTAGGTTCCTTCCTAAGTGATGAAGGAAGTCTTCTCCCGGTCCTCCTCAGCCATCTCTATCTGGTGGTATCCCTTAAAAGCATTCAGGAAACACAAAACATCAAAACCGACAGTAGCATCTACTAACCTGTCGATTCTCGGCAAGGGGAAGCAGTCCTTCGGGCAGGCTTTATTGAGATCTGTAAAGTCGACGCACATCCTCCAGAACTGGTCCTCCTTCTTCACCAGAACAGGGTTGGCCAGCCAGGTCGGGTAGTAGACCTCCATGATGATCGTGGATTCCAGCAGCTTTCCGACCTCCTTCCTGATGACCTCGTTCCTCTCCGGAGCGAAATTCCTCTTTTTCTGCTTTACTGGCTTGAAACGGGGGTCTATGTTGAGGTGGTGAACGACCAGGTCGGTCGGAATTCCGGGCATATCCTCCACCGTCCAGGCGAAAACCTGGGCGTACTCCCTTAGGAGGGACTTCAGGTCATCCTTCTCCTTGGGCGGTGGCAACGCACCGATGCGGATTACCTGATCGGGCCTATCCTCCTTCAGTGGGAACTCCTCGATCTCATCCGGAGTGCCCAGCTGCCGTTCCTCCTCGCCCGGGATGTAAGGCTCCAAGCTGGTCGCCTGAGCGACCACCTTCTCGTGTCCCCGGAGCATGGCTAGATAGCAAGTTCGGGCCACCTCCGGACCTCCATGCACCTCGGCAACTCCTCCCGGGGTGTGGAATTTGACGCTGAGGTGGAGCGTTGAAGGAATGGCTCGGAGGGAGTTCAAATCGGGCCGACCTAGAAATATGTTGTACGGGGACGGCTGCTTGACCACCACAAAGTTGACAGGGATGGTCCGGCATCTGGGTGCCTGACCTACTGTGACCATCAGGATGATCATCCCCTCCGGGTTGATGGGTGGTCCCGTAAAGCCTACCAGAGGTGTCCGCACAGGAGTTAGCTGTCCATCTTCCAGGCCGAGCTCCTTGAACACTCGATAAAACATGATGTCGACCGCACTTCCTTGGTCGACGTACGCCTTCTTCACCCGATAGTTGTTGGTCACAACATCGATGACGATGGCCTCATGGTTCCCAGATGCTAGGGGAACCGCATCCCTCGGCCCGAAGTGATCTTCTCGTCCATACGCAGGCGTTTTAGGGAGTCGTCTCCTTCGGGAGGAGATCGCTTGTTTTTCCGAGCTGTACGGCTGTCCCCCCCTGTGGGGCCGCCGGCAATGGTGTTTATCACCCCGGCCAAGTTGTGGGCATCTTGGTCGGGTGAATAACCCCGGGGTACGCCACGCCGATCTGGTCGGTCACGGTGCTGCCCCTCACTTCTCTCGCCACGGTAGGTGCGTCCCGGCTCCTGGCCTGGGCGACCTTGCCGCACAAATCGCCCCAAGAAGCCGCGCTGGACAAGGTCCTCGATTTCTCTCTTTAGGGCCCAGCACCCCTCAGTGTCATGTCCGACGTCCCTGTGGAAGGCACAGTACCGGTCCTGGTTTCTCTTATTCCGAGGTGTGCCCATTTTAGGCGGCCGGTCCCCCAGGCCCTCTGTCTTCATGACAGCCAGTATTTGGCCCCTGGACCGAGTTAAGGGGGTATAGCCTTTCTCGGGGATCGGTGGCGGAGTAGGGGCTTTATCCTTAGAGAGGCGATCGAAAACGTTCTTCCTGGCCTGGCCGTTCTTTGTGTCAGGGGGGTTCGCCCGTCCTGTCCGGTCCCTGAGCTCCCGATCGGATTCTCGTTTCAGGCGGCCGGCCTCCTCTGCGTTAGCAGCGGCATGAGCCCGGGTCAAGAGCTCTCCCAAATTCTTGGGGGGCTGTTCGACAAGCTTGTAATAGAGCTCCTCTACCCTTAGCCCGTTCATGAAAGCAGTCATGACCACTTTCTCATCCTTGTCCCTGATCTGCAGGCTTTCTGTATTGAAGCGCGTCATGAAGTTCTTCAGGGACTCGTCCGGCTTCTGCCTGATGGCCATCAGGTGGGCCGCGTTTTTCGAATAAGTCTTCGATGAGACGAACTGGGAGGCGAACTGTCTGGCCAGCTCGGTGAAACTCCGGATAGACCCCGGCGCCAGGCCCTGGAACCAGAGCCGTGCCTTACCCTTAAGAAACATGGGGAAGGTCTTGCAACGGAAGGCATCCGCAGCTGTTTGTAGACGCATGTGCGTCAGGAAGACCGAAAGGTGGTCTTCCGGGTCAGTCGAGCCATCGTACAGCTCGATGTTCGAGATTTTAAACCTCCGAGGTAACGGGTAGTCCTCGACCTCTCGGGTGAAGGGCGAGGCTGCGTAGTTGCCCTCATACTGTTGTGGTCGCAGGATCTGCCCAAGCTCGTCCCGGACGGGCTGCCATTGGGGAGGGTCCCACGGCCGGCTCCTGATAGACCGGGCGGGGGAGCGCTCCGGCTCATTCCCGCAAGCTTCCATGAGGAGGGGTTCCTCAGCCGACCCCCGGCGGACCGGTCGCGAGAATACCTCTCACTGTCCCCGACCATCGAGGCCTGCGGCCTGGGAGGAGTCCGCGGTCGCTTCCTCCTGGGGGGCCGGTCCCGTGACTCGTCCTCTGATGGGATGGGGAGCGGCTCCCTCTCCTTCCCCTTCGCCTTAGAGGTTTGTGCTCCGTCAGCCTCTCCCCCCTCCTTCGCCTGCCGGATTATGTCTTCCAGCATGGGGAAATTCTCGGTCACAAACTGATAGATCTGCTGTTTCCGTTCCCCGGAAAGGGTCGAGCCCTCGGCTCCTCGGGGCGCCTCGGTCTCCAACCGCCGGGATCCCTCGTCGGCTCCGGGATCAGTGTTATCCACGGTTCGCTTGGAACGCGTCTTCGCCATCAACACAAATACTCGTATTTTCGTTCCCACAGACAGCGCCAACTGAAGAATCACGGAACTCCCCCTGACCGAGCTGACCTGATGAGCTCGGGGTGCCGATGGAAGAGCTGGTTCCAAGCCTGCTAAACAAACAAGGGTGAACTAACAGAGGGGGCCTGAGGGTTGTCCCCGAAGGCACTCCGACGGTCAAGTTAGTTTTCCGGTGAGTAGGGGAAGTACTAACAGTAAAGCAGTCGGGAGTAATTTGTCAATAGTCAGCGTACCTTGCACAGTAGGTATGGGTTACCATTTATACCTGTTGAAGAGTCCGACCTCCGTAAGTTCCGGGATTTGCCGTGTATAGCTCCCCACCCCGCGCTGAGGGGGATTCTTCTCGCCCTCTGCGGGGTAGCTCTCGGGAGCCTCCCGGAGCCCTAGCCGCCGAGCACCCTGGGCTGGTTCCCCGTGGGCCCGGGGTGCAAGCCCAGCTCGGGTCGACCCTGGGCTGCCACGTGTACAGGCCCAGGATGGGGCCTCTGCAATATACAAATAGATTTTGGATAAACAAAATAAAGTGATGAACTGTGATTTGGTGCCAGATCTTGGCTTGACCCGAGCCTGATCCATGGTTAGATCATGCCCAGGGTGGTCCAAGTCTTTCCAGTTATACATTCAGTTTTGGATTTGGTCTGGATCACATAGGTCTCAGGTCTTCTTAGTGAATCAGATCCAGTTCTGTGAACCAAAAGGTGGTTACTTGGGGCTAGATCCTTGTAATGGTCAAAAAGTGGTTGTTTGGAACCAAATGGCTGCGTCAGGTCATTATGTGGACATAAAAAACACTTATTCCTATAAAAATAATTAAGTCTCATTGAATTAAACTGACTTTGGATTTGATTAATTCTAAGTGAGAACAATTAGATTATGCTATCTACTTTTTCCTTTTTGTTCTATCCTAGGGGTAAATGGCCACTACTCCTAAGCAAACAACTAAGTAGTATGGGCAATTAAAACTTTAAGAACAGTAGTCAACAACGGCGGCTAGCCTCGTTGGTTTTTCCCTTTTCTTATTCCCCTGGCCAAGTAATAATCCCGCGGGATCTGGCCTTCTTTTCCTCTTCTAAGTCGGCTGGCCTTTTCTTGCCTTTTCTCCCTAATTCCTTACAAAGACATACGAGAGTCTCTTTCCTCTCGTCAAACTCAAGCTAAAAAGACTTCCTAATAATCTAGAATCCTAGTCTCTCTGAACTTTCCTAATCTAACAGATTTTCTAATAAAAAATAGTTTCCTCATAGTACTCAACTACTAAATAGAAAATGGTAATAATTATTCCAGCATAGCCTCGGACTTGGAATCCACAATTCTTTGGAAACTACCTGTGCGCGTGAGATCCTGAATCTTCTGGACTTGAATGTAGGTTCCGAACGTGCCACCACTAAATTAGATGGAAATTGTCCCTTTTAATCATGTTTTGGTTATTTTTCCTACAATTAGCACCATTAACCAAATATAAGTAGAATCCATCAATTAATACAATATTTGGCTAAAATAAAAGGGAAAATAAACATAAAGTAAATAACAATTTCACATCCCATCAGCAAACAACTAAGTAGCATGGGCAATTAAAACTTTAAGAACAGTAGTGTTTTCATGCCTTATTAGTTTATCATTTCTTCTCCTTTTACCATGTGAAACAGTCTTCAATGTTATAAACATACATATATATATATATACAGACACATATATAAATTATACATACATACATATATATATTTATATATACGTATGTATGTATATATTTTATACTTATAATATAAGAAAGATTAATTGAATATTTTGAAAAGAAACATGAGGAAGAGGATTTGAACCCAAATAGAATCTAAAAAACTTACTAGCAACCACTATGCAAATTCAAAGAGTGAATGGCCATTACCTAAGAGAAGGTAAAAAATATTGGTCAGATCCATTTCAGGTTCATAAATTCTCTTCTTTAAACAAAAACAAAAAGAAAAGAAAAACCAAAAAAATTTTCCCTAATCTTCTATTTTCGACTATAAAATAAATATGACATATCTCATGCATATTCTTATAAAGCCAAGCAAAAGCATTAGAAAAAAACTTATTGTTAAAGTTGAAAGTACAGACTTAGGAACATGGGCACTGATGAATTCGTAGGAGATTGATATGAAGAACCCAACATAGGAGATTGAATGATCTCTCTCACTTATATAAATCCTAATTAGTGTACAATTTCACGACCCTTTCGGCTCTTGCTTTTGATTTGCTTCCACGTTGTTTCGCTTGCAAAATTCTTGGCTTTAGTCCTATTTCTCTAGTCATCCATTGACTAAAAAATACGTACAGATAACCTTTTTTGGCCCATTGAACAATTGGGACCACTTCATATTGCCTGCACATGTACCATCTTGGTTCTAGCTTTTGCCTTTTGCTTGCTTCCATGTTATTTCGCTTTTTTTTTTAAATTCTTCTAGCCGGTCCTTTTCTCAAAACCTATAAATTGCTCTCTAAAGCCAAGTTTATGTGCAAAGCAAAAAGATAAAAATGCCCTCATTATAAGGATAGTGTCTAATAATCTTTTTTTTTTCATTATTGTTCTTTCTTCTTCTTCTCCTTTTTCCTTATTATTTTTACATCTTTTTTTCCTCGTCTTCGAATCCTAAATCTGTGTATCAACTTCAGTAATAATAATGTGTTAAAAAATTTCCTTTTGCGGTCAAATAACTTTCTTACTAAAAATATTTGGTCATCATTATTTATCACAAGATAACAAATAGCATATAGTAACAATTTCAAGTATTTGCTATTGATAATGATCACTTCTTATGCTTCAATTTTTATTAAAAAAAATAGAAATTACTATTTGAATTTTCACGATGTTTTAGGATAACTAAAATTTATATATATATATATATATATATATAAAAGAAAATGCCACAACATCATAGTGACGTATGGGCCCTGATGAGCATCAACTTTGTTCCTCGATCTGTATTGCATCTGATGTGGGATCCGGTGTAGGGGGTGCTTGAGAATAAAACTTTGACCTTTTCTCTTTACAAATGTAAGTTTCGAACTTATTTCTCTGATTTCGAAAGACATGAAATTTTTGATTTGTGTTTTAAAGATCAAAAATTACTTTTAGATGACTTAGTATAACTAAATCCAATATCGAGTGACAATTCAAAATTTTTGAAAAATCCTTTTTCTAGACTTTAGTGGTCCTAAATCTGTGGTTTTGTTAAGTTCTATTGCGGGGTTTTTTTTTTTTAATTTTTATTTTGGAAATAATATCGGGGGACAGCTTCAACCATTAGAGCCATGTGAAGGCCTTGTAGCATTTAGGTTCTAGCTTTTGCTTGCTTCCATGATATCGGCCCCTTTTCTCAAAGCCTACAAATTGCTTGCTGAGAAGTAAAGACAATTGTATGTGCAAAGCAAAAGGATAATAATTCCCTCCATGTAGGGCTTTTACCAAAAATGTTTGGTCATCATTAGTTATCACAAGATAATAAATAGCATTCGTTAACAATTTCAAGTATTTTCTATTGATATTAATTTCTTCTTGTGCATCAATTTTTATTAAAAATAGAAATTATGAAAATAATTTTACTAAACATAAACTTTTTAGTTTATAAAATTTGATAATAATTAGATATATTATATAACAAAATAACAGTGTGTATATTTGAAATTCAAAAGAAATTTTAATAAGAATAAAGAAGAAATGAATAAGAAAAATGGAAAGATAATTATAAAATTACTTATGCTCTATGTATAATGATAGGTTGCGATTTTATCATTTATTTTATTATTAATTTCTCCTATTACCTGACCCAATCCGGATTAATTGTTAGATTCTACTCACTTTTAGTATTTTACATATATTTCAGGGAGTAGAACGAAAATACCATAATAAGTGCCGATTTGACAGTTATCAGGAAAGAGTTCAAGTAGCTGGCATCCAGGGCATTTTTGGAATATCAAGACGTGACCCTCTTTGGTAATTTGGAGAAGACAGCATAAAAGAAGGAGAGGAACGGAGGGCTTCGGGGGGTTCTTTCCCTTGGGGGCTAGAGCCGCCGCGCAGAGGCCAGGGGGCTATCTTGCTTCCTTAATTTTTCGTCTTTTAGCTTAGCTTGTTTTTCACTTTTTTTTCTTCTGAGCTTTTGGGTAGTTATTCTCCACGGATGGCAGGAGGAATTGGAGCTTCTCCTTTGACTTTTCCGCATGGTCCTTGAATAGTTTCTCCCTTCTTCGTATGTAGACACATCGAAACAATCTATTACTTCTTGTAATTTGCTTTTCGCCTTGAATATAACGAATTGAGTTTTC